CTTCTTCTTCTTTCTTCTTATTCATTCGTTTTTACCACAGATTTGTGTGCTTCAACACAGTACGTCCATATGCTTCTATCTGCGCAAGCGCAGCTCTGAGACGGAAGCAGGGCGTCCAATGACAGCAGGCCGAGAAGGAAAAAAAACAGCGTAAAGATGAAAGAAGTGTTTAAACTTGTCAAGTGTTTAAAGTAGACATGGCAGGGCTGTTCGAACAGTCAGTTAGTTTATTGTCGCAATGATATGTGTTTCTCCAGATTACTGTAGAAATGTATAAACCTTTAAAGTAAAGGGATTACAGAAAATGGCAACAAACCTGCTTGATTTCACTGCCCTCTATCGGCAGAGAATGAAAGCCCTTTTACCAGCGGTTGGTGCTATAACTGCTACATCCTGAGATCGGCGCCAAACGCACCATTATTTAAGGAGCACCCCCTCCCAAAAAAGAAGGAGAAGAAGCATTAAACAGGCTGATTGAATGTATGGTCATTTGGTGATAACAATAAAGTAGCAGTATGTATTTAGGTCGTGTCAGTTCGTGCGGTCCAGTAGTGTGCATAATGCTGTCCTTCGTGCTGTCCCGGAGTTTCTGCCAAGGTGTTACGGAGGCGCACCGGAGGTGTTACTCGACCTTTGGGTCGATATGTCGGACTTTTTCAACATCGAGTCCGAAATGCGAAGAAGCATCAGACAACGGTAAAACCGTCGTTGTGTCCTGTCGAAATCCTCTTACAGGAATAAAATAATAATCTTGTCAAGCATGTCACTTTGAGCCTACAGATATATTTCTTAGTAACTAATATTAATAGTTTGATCTCATAGTATTTTGTGTTAAACTGCTGGAATGCTGTTTTAAATCGTCAATTGCCCTGACTGTGTGTGTCACAGTCTGTGTTTATGGCTACCTATACTCAGCATTTTCACAGCTGAATGGACTGCAGGTGTACACAAGCAGTTTCTCTCAATATTTCAAAGAGAGGATAATACTGTAGCTTAGCTGTGGCACTTTGATTTCACCCCCACAGTGTTTACCATCAGCAGGGGTTCAGATAACACGTACTCTAATTAAATCAGGAAATGGTGGTTTCACATAATTTTCAACGAATATAAGCACTATAAGCAACAATAAATTAAAACTCTTTCTTCCTGTTTCCTTTCTTTGTTGCTGTTCAGGTTCAGTGGTGACCTACTCAGAGCTGAAGACCATGCTGGCAAGCCATAACATTCAGCTCTTTGATGTGAGAAATCCTGATGAGTACCAGGCTGGACAAATTCCCCAGGCCGTCAACGTCCCACGTAAGCAGGGTTCTGAAACTTGTAGGACTTGTCTGTTTTCCTGCATTTGTAGTTAACATGTGTGTTCTTTGTTGGTATGCACGTCAGTGGACAACCTGGAGGAGTCTCTGCAACTGTCCCCTGAGCTCTTTGAGCAAAGGTTTGAAGTGAAGGCTCCCACGAAAGCTGACGACAACATCGTGTTTCACTGCAGAAGTGGCATCAGGAGCACAAGAGCACTGAGCATCGCTCATCAGCTGGGATTTAGCAAGTAAGTAGTAATACATGTGCTTGTTTCTATGCAAAACAAACCTGGAGATTAAGCACACTACTAGTGGAAATTGACTGTGGGAACGCGATGTGCGTGTTTCCAGGGTAAATTTATGGAGAGGTGATGTCTAATACTGTATGGCGTCACTGAGAGATTTACAAAGTCTGAAAACATTGGGGCATGGCCAAAAACCTGTGTTGCTAGCTCTGTAGATTATGCTGTGGAGTGTTTTCTCTTTCTCCAGAACCAGTTCTAAGGGTATAGGCTAATGGTACAGAGCGATGGTGGAGAAATGTGGCCATTTACAAGTTAAGTTGGCAAATTGGACAGGGATCAGCAACAAAATTGGGCAGTTAGGTCACAGACGAGCGTCCTGCAGATCAGGTTATGCCGAGTGAAGATCAGATACACTGTGAGGAGATTAGACTGGGTGGCAGGTTTTATACTGCATGCAGTCTCACTGGCTTTGATAGACGGGTTGAAAGAAAATTATTTACTTAGTTTTGTGAATGTGCGATTCCCATACAGATATTTTTCTACTGACATGAAGTCTCATTTGGCCTATAAGGGAAAAAATGTATGTGCATATAAAAACAAAAAAACTCAGACATTAATCATCAATCAATCGAGATAATTAGTTATTTTTACAGCACTTCTGCTACATTTAGATGCCTCCCAAGAAGTCAATCCATGAGATATAAATAGTGCATTCCTGCTGCAGCTGGAGAAGTGTCCTCAGGTGATACTTTGACTTGCTGAACTGTGGGCGACCTTTTAATATAAAGCAAACAACAGTGTTAAGAGATTAAGCTCCTCTATCTGTGCTTTTGTTTTTGTTTTTCCCCCCTCAGGGCGAGACATTTTAAAGGAGGCTACTCAGAGTGGGTCGAGCGAGAAGGAAAGTGAATCGGGTGAAATCTGCACTGAAGTTCTTCAAAGTACCGTTCCTTTTATTCAATGCACTGTGACTGGGATATATTTCTTATTTTGTTCAAGAGTACTGTCAAAAGAAGTTTTTAACACCTTTGCTGTAACTTTACTAAAAATATTACAAGTGTCCTTTTTATCCTGCTTCAAGATATGACATGAATTGGCAGCTGATGAATGTGAAGGTTCTTTAAATAAAAGCTATAAAAAATTAAACATTTGTGTTAAAATCTTTTTTTTTTCTTTCTCATTATAAATATCTAATTAGTATTAAAAAAAACCAACCCACCTGTCCATTTTATATTCAAGTTTTTGGTTGTTTTGTTTTTCTTTTTTCTTTTTACCACTTTGATGTTTCCATGAAAATGCTAAACAAAGGGGGGGGAAGGAAAGCACAGAAGTAAAAAATACAGGAGACAAGCTCATTAAAATGTTCATTTAAATAAGTGGTGAGAAAAATTTACTTCCATTGGCCCGAAACGTTATTTTAATGAGCATGTGGCTGTTTCGCCCGCACTTTGAGCTTATAATAATGGATTGCATTTATATAGCGCTTTTCTAGGCCACCAAAGCGCTTTACAATTCCACTATTATTATTATTATAGGTTTTTTGTTGTCGTCAGCAACAGCTGAAGACCGCACTGGGTGTCACTCCTCTGAGCTAAGGACATTTGCGTAATAAAACATTGAGAAAACATTTCTTGGTCTGATTAACCCTTATTTCCTGTTGCAACATTTGGTAGAGTTGGTGTAATGAGATCCCTTCCCAGACGCCTTAACCCCCACGCACATCCTGGGCCATTTGACCTCAGTAAATGACATGAAGGGTGGGGCTAGGTTTCACAATCAATCAATACAACAAGGGAAAACAAATAAAATAAAGCTCTTTAGAATACCTAATAAATAAGCAATCCATAGGCTTTTATTATTATGTTTTACGTAATTATTCAACTGTGTCTATTTCCATTTAACATGTCTCCTAATATGTTCTCCTGAGTTTCATTTTTTTTTTGTCCTTTTGCAGTGTGAACATACCCACACATGCACTGAATTATTTTAATTTGGAATAACAGCAGTTCAGCCTGAATGCCAGCAGATAGCAGCAAAATGCCAGCCAACTCTAAGTGCTTATTTCCATTTAATCTCCAACACTGTTCTTTTTATTATTGTACCATGCCCTATAAGGACTGACCTTCACAGTGGTATTAGTCTGCGCTGATATACATCTTGTGAGTAACAGCTCTGTGAGCGGCTGTCAGGAGCTCGAGCTGGCCAAGGTCTGTGCAGCTCTCATTCAAAAGCGGAAACTGATCCCACTTCACTTTTCAGCTTCTGATCAGAGCTATTTGCATAGTATCCATACAACCGGCGTGTCATGGGTGAAGGGGTTGATGTGGATATATGGAGGGAATTGAGTGCACACCCTAAATGATGAATTTGGAGGAGATGAACATAAAGAGAGCAAAGCATGTCTGGATTTAATGGACGTTAATGGTTTCGAGTGACTACACTGCAACATCATCCAAAGACAAAATGTATCCTGTGTTGTGGATGTGGGACATCATAAAATTTCATCAGGTTCCAAACACATGCCACCTACAGCACATATTAGAAGTATCCAGAGCTCTATATGGCAGAAGATATATATATATATACATGCCAGAAGGATGGGTCAGATTTCCAGTGGGCACCAAGGACATTTAGGCACTTTTACATGAGTTAAAACACAAACTGACAGGTGGTTCAGGGTGAAAAATGATCAGTGGGCGATTGTTTGTCAGCGGCTGCAGTTACAGGACAGGCCATTAACTTCCTGCTGCTCGCTGCTTTTTAAAATGCACTCTACCAAGGCTTTGTAATAAAGTCGACTACATGGCTCTGTTTTGAATTTTTTTTAATTCTGGAAATGTAAACCACGTGGCCTTTATTTGTCTCCAAAACGGATGTTATGCTAAACCTCCCTCACAGGACTTTAACTGAATTTTCTCCAGTTTTTTTTTTTTTCTTCCTTCTTTGCGAGCTGGAATGTGTACATGAATGGGAAAAATGGCACCCTCCTTCGTGTTGTTTCTTTCAGATCTCACTTATTTGGTGCGCGTTGTAGGGGCTCGTGCAGTACTGATTCCTCTTATCTTAAAATGTCATGTAGACAGAGAGAGGATGGGGGGGACGCATTGGATGAGAGCAAAGAGATATAAGGCAAAAAGCTCCTGGTATTCTTTATCTGCATAGTTTCTTTTTTCTTTTTGGTATTTCTTATGTCGCAGGGTTATAAAGTGGCCCATAAAGATAATGGCGCAATGGTTTACACATGTTTTTAAGCACCCAGGTTGGCCTAATGCCCCACAGATCTTTCATTTAGTTGTTTTATGAGGCCAGCATCTGGCTATTTTTATTCCAATATCACTTCCAGCAAAGCACGACCCAGACTGCGAGACTGTGTCAGGGTCATACTGATGAGGGAGGGGATTCTAACTCACAACGCAGATATACAAAAACTTCTATCATAGCACTGACACGCAATCATTTTATCCTCAGATTAAAACATGTTCCGCGCCCCCCTCTCGTAATAATTAGCCACGGCGTCACTGCACACCTGATGTAGCCACAACAACTCCGGTGTGGCCGCAGAAAGCCACCGAGAGCCGGTGGGGGGGGGAAATGAAGTGAGCGAGCGAGATTGGAGCTTCATCTGTGAGTTCTCAACATCCACATTCGCCCGTGCGCAATGGCACCGAGCGCTCCCCCGGCTCCTCCCGCTCGCCTCGCAGGGCTGGACGCAACGACCGGGCAACTTTTAACCCAGCACGGATGGTGCTTTTCCTCGATGGCATCTGATGAATTCTTCACTGCGAAACACTAACAGGTATGTAAGCGTGTGTGCGTACTTTTTGTTTGGGGTTTTTAAAAGAAAAAGCAGTAATGTATTATTAATTGAAATGTTTTATGTGTTGTCTCTCCAGCTAAATCCTCATCCGCTGCTCGTTTAACAGTTTGATTGCGCATTTACTTGGATAACTGATCATGTGGCACAATCATTTTTGTCCCTAATTGGGCCATTCATGTGTGTGACTGGACCACAACTGACCTCAACCTTTGCAGAAAGCTGATTTCGACGCACGATAGGGCGCTGCAATTATGGGCTTTAATTGAATTCTGCGATAAATGTTTGACGATCGAGTAATAAGATGAACTTGGCAGGTATTTGTAATAAATTCCAGCTACCAAAATGAATTTATTACACACAGCTAGACTGGGGGGGATCCTTGACAGGGTGTCAGCCAAGTCTGCTGTGGCAGCAGCCCACCCCTTAGTCTATGCGCAGTTTACGGTATTATTGGGTTAACATAACTGTCTTTACGAAAAAAACATAAAGTTAAACACCGTCACGATCGCCGCCACTGTGCAGGCTTCACTGTGACTTCAGAGCATGTCCGCTGAGTCAGATGCGATGCCACCATGCATGTGCATTGAAGGGTCTGTTAGATGCCTACTTCACAGGCACTTATGAGAGGTCAGACCCCTGGATAGGAGCAGTGAGAGGCCGGAATAAGCGGTTAACATTAAAAAAAAGTGTGCACAGGGCAATCAGGTCCAATTAGCACTTGTTACAAGTATAAACAAACCTTTCAGCAGAGCAATATGCGACCTTGTGCTCCTGTTCAGACTGAACACACACTGTGTGTGTGTGTGTGTGTGTGTGTGTGTGTGTGTGTGTGTGTGTGTGTGTGTGTGTGTGTGTGTGTGTGTGTGTGTGTACGTGTACAGATGTGGTTTTCCTCAAATATTTTTTGATTGGCATCCCTGCAACCTGCCACACCTCATTCTGTGATAAATCCACTGCTGCACTCCCCTGAGGAGACTTCAAGGTGATCGGTATTGGTGCCTGGCTTTCCCCTGCTTCTTCAGGTTCTCCTGTGGACAATAATATGATACAGGAGCTATTGAAGAGCTTGGTAGCATTATAGACTGAGAAAATCTTTAAAAGCCTCCTGGGTCTGAGCCAGTTCTAAAAAGGATCTGATTTTCTCTGTGTCTTTCTCCCTGTTTCTGTCACTGAAAGAATGGGGGGAGCTGGATTAGATGGATCAGTATGTTTACCATCTAGACACAGGTGTGAGTATTATCACAGTGGGCTGATATCTGGACTTGGGCCAGATAGGGAGGTTTGATGATAAATGAGAAGAAGGGCTGAGTGCAAGGAGCACAGAGCCAAGCAGACCTCTCAGGGTGGCAGCACAGACTTATTACCCCTCCCTGATGAGCTAACCTTCCAGACACTGCATAAGGCTTCTCTTCCAGGCCCTAATTAAAGCTACCATCTCTGTTTTATAGCTCCTGTTTTTATCAGTTGTTTTAGATGCCATTTACAGGAACGATCGCAGTGCTTTTGAAAGGCTGACTGGAACAATCATAAATGCATTGTACAGTCGAAGCATACATTGTCTGCTGAGTCTTTATGGAGATGATTGTCTCTATAGGAGCCATGGAGCCGTATCGTGAAGAGGCGTCAATACGCTCCCCCATTTTTTATTCAGCAGGAGAAATGAAACTCTCGTGCCAGCAAAAAGCAGCGATGCTCTGCAAAGAGAGTGTTACTGCTGGGATTTATCTCCTTAGGTTTCATTTATTAGTGCATCTGACTTGTGTTGGGAGTCAGCATCTGTTTTCCAGCAGGCCTTTCTATGGGTAAATTCACCTAATGACTAAAGTGTGGGAATCCAAAAGGAAACAGAAGGTTGTGTGTTTATTCCAATACTCTTTTCTTTGGGCAGGTCTGCCAAACATCTCACCTCCCATGTCACTGGGACGTCTCAATGGCGATGTTTAGCAGCTCGGAGCGGCTCTGGAATGAGTCAGAGCGCCTCAGATGGGATGAGAGGAATGAGACCTTGGAGGCACCATGGCAGGATGAAGGGGAGCGCAATTACTATGCCATGCTGTACTCCCTGCTTATCCTAGCCATCGTGTTTGGGAACGTGTTGGTGTGTCTGGCCGTGCTGAGGGAACGTTCCCTCCAGACAACCACCAACTACCTGGTGGTGAGCCTGGCTGTGTCTGACCTGCTCGTGGCCTCTCTGGTCATGCCCTGGGCTGTCTACCTGGAGGTGAGTGTCTGCATTTACATCCTTCAGTATCTCACACATGTTCTTTTCAATAGTATTGTAATTACATCCATATAGAAGGATTTTCTTTACATATTTTGGAGGTTGAATGGTCATATTTTGCACTGTTTGGCAGAGGTTTCATTCCTGCTGCTAATGTTTAGAGTAGCAGAAGCTGAATCAAACTTTTATCCATGCTGAGGTGGGATCTGACAGAAATGGAACTCATTTGCGTTGGTCTGTTTTTCCCTTTGAATTTTCTTGTGATGCACTACACCGCTTCCAGCTCTCCGCTTATTCTTCTCCACCATGCCCGCACATTAACTTTTTGACCTGAATTCCAGAGAACATCACAGAGTTGCAGGGGGCAAAATGAGACGAGAAGATTTCAGGTCATTTTGTGCCCAGTGTTCTCACTCAGTTGCCCGATAATATTACAACAGGTCTTTGCACTGATGATCAGTTTGAGCTGAAATCTCATGGATGCACATGCAGATACCCACAGCAGGACTTCCAAAGAGCAATTTAATTTTCTTCTTATTAGAAAAGCTTTAGAAGAATGGGACCTTAAAGGAAATTACAGCCAAACAGAAACCAGCTAAAGTGTTAAGGTCAAACGTTTTGCCCCTTCTAATTACACCTTGGTAGTTCATTTTTATTTATCCATGTACATTTTCTAACTATTTCAACCATTCATTTTAAGCAAGTGTTTCACTCAGCTATCACTGTTTCATCATTTCTTTTCACTTGCTAAAAAACTAGTTCCCATTCCTATTGGGATTACACCATTTTTAATCCTAATTGCATGTTTGCCTGCTTATGGATGTTTGTTTTTATTAATTGTTGATAATTAGTACCCTGCAATATTCCCACTAACAGCTGCAGAAGTGCTGCCTAACAGGAAATAAATCATGGAGAGCCCTGAAGCAAGGGGGAAGCAAGACATGATTAGAAATATGGAGGATGTAGACGGGATAAAATACCGTTATTTAGGAGTGAATGAGTTGAGATTATGAAGAGAACAGAGGAAAGTTGTGTGGAAGACAAAATAAAAAAGCTAAACTCAAAGAGGGAAAGGATGAGGGTCATTTGAGCTTATTACATGGTGACAGCTGTGTGGGTGATCCAAAGACAGTAATGATGATGAAAGTATTTTAGATGGTGATTCAGTATTTATGTAGATTATGCATAATTGCTTAAGGATATATTGAATATTAAATAAGGGCGTCATCTGCTCTGTAATTGGCTGAGCCGCAGATGATAAAGAGGCTTCTGCAAACTTGTGAATTTCATTCTTATCCAACCTTCGCAGCAAAAAGCTTTTTATAGTTTCTGTTCACTTTTATTTACTTCTTGCAGATTACTCACTAGTGTAACATAGTTTTTCTGGTAATTATCGCTTTTCTTCATGTTACTTGCTGTTCACCAGCTCCATTAAGTATGCAGGTGCACATGACCATCAGACAACCACACTTCACTAAGGTCACTGAACGCTGCAAATTTACTTCAGGCAGGCTCGTAGGTGTGTATAAAACAACCTCCTTGAAGCTCGCAGAGACAGAGAGTGTTCCTGCAGGGCAGGCGTTTGCCAACATGAGTCCTGAAGTCCGGTTGTGTTTAATAAGCAGCCAACCTTTCGTGCAAGAATTTTGCACAGTGTCAGCAGAAAGTGCTTTTTCTCCTGCAGTGCAGAAGATTCAACAGCAGACCAACCCAAAAAAAAGTAATTACACACCCAGTGAGCAGAAGTTGACAAATTAAAGATGATTACATCCTCCGAAAGGTAAATTTAGGGCGCCATAAACCTCGACAGGGTTCAGTCATGGGTTTAACTTCCTAGCGAGCAGCTATGCTGTAAAAGCATGTGCTACTTTTTTTTAAATTTGGAGTTGGATCTCCTCATTTCAGATTCAAAGGGGAGCTTATTAAACACTGTAAAAACTGGTTATTAAAAGATAATATGACACAAAAGTCCAATATTCATTATTTTAGAGTAAATTTAAAAGAATATTGTTTAAAAAAAAAAAGGCTGGGGAGAAACTTATTCAGCATCAGAGGTAAAGACTTTCAGCTCCCAAGACTAAGCACCATCACCCTGGGAGCTGTAATCTGAAGGTCTGCGGATTATCCTGATGTAGAGGGATGCTGATGAGCTTCTGCAGGTGTGTTCTTACGAGAAAAGTCAGTGAGCGTCGCTCTTCCTGTCCTCAGCAGGAGCCAATCATGTGCCCTTGAGCAAGTCATATTATCCTTGAATGGAGCAGCTGATCTATGACTTGTACTTGAGCAAAGTGGTTGCAATGGCAGTAATGAATGAGCGCTCACGTCTAGCACTTCATCCTAAACAATGTCGCTCAGCCTCCAAAAATATGCAACATGACTGTATAGAAACGGCTCCATTTGTAAAGTGGAGGCTATATTCTCTTTTTAGGGTAGTCAGGTGTTAAATGAGCCGGTTCATATATAGCACTTTTATACTCGAGCACTCGGAGCGCTTTGTACGACTTGTCTCATTCACACAAGCACTTTTTATACACCTTTATATCTAACATTGACACGCCAATGAATGCATCAGAGCAACTTTGGCATGCAGATTAGCAGTCAGGAATTGAACTACCAACGTCTGATCTAGTCTTATAATTAGCTTGTGCATTCTCAGTAAAAAACATACAGTACTTTACGAGTCAAATCTGTTAGGGTACCTGGGTTGTTGACCCAGTGTTTTGAGTTTTTTATTATTATTGAACTTTGATTTTGTCATTATTTATATTTCTAGTATTTTGGTTTCTATGTTAGCATTCTTAGTCTCCTGGTTTCTGTCTCTGCTTCATGGTTCCTCTGTCTCCCCTGTCACCTGTATCCCCTTGTTGGGGCTCTGTGTTATGTTTCCTGTTTTACTTTGAAAGTCCGTGTCTCATGTCAGTGTTTCTAGTTTTGTTTTCCTTGTCTCTTGAGGTCTGATTTGTCCCAGCTCTGTTTCCCTCCCATCTCCCATTCCCTAATTGCACCCTCTGTGTATTTAAGTCCTGTGTTTTCCTCAGTCTCTGTCGTGATCTCCATCATCTCTTACTGTGGGTTCTGTCTGTCAGCCTGCATACCTTGTTTAGTTTATTTTTATTTTCAGTTCAGTTATTTTTTGCCATCCTGCAGTAATGCTGTGTTTGAGTTCACCTTTTTGCCTCCATGAGTCTGCACTTTGGGTCCACCATTACTGCCTGCCGCACACAGACATGACAACATCATCCCTGGATCGATGACTTGTAATCGATGACACCTGTTCAGCTGCTCATTAGTACAAATATGTAATCAGCCAATCACATGTATTACTTTCAAAGCATTTAGGTACGTAGACATGGTCAAGACGACCTGCTGAAGTTTGAGCATCAGAATGGGGAAGAAAAGTAATTTAAGTAACTTTGAATGTGGCATAGTTGTTGGTTCGTGTCTCAGAAACTGCTCATCTGCTGGGATCTTCACACACGACCATCCCTGAGGTTTACCAACCTTGAAGCAAATGAACTACAACAGCAGAAGACCACACCAGGTGAAAGTGAAGCTACAATTCACGTGGGATCAATAAGCGAGATAATAGTTGCGCTGCAACATTTCAGATGGGAGGATCAGAATCTGTCTTAAACAACATGAAGACATGGATCCATCCTATCTTGTATCAACCGTTCAGGGTGCTGCTGGTGTATATTTGGTGGATATTTTCTCGGCATACTTTGGACCACTCTGTGCCAATTCAGCATAACTTCATTACCACAGCCTACCTGAGTATTGTTGCTGAGCATGTTCATGCCATTATGACCACAGTGTACCCATCGTCTGATGGCAGCATTAAGCAGCATAACATATTATTACACAAAGCTCAGATCATCCCAAACTGGTTTCTCGAACATGACCATGACTTCACTGTCTTCAACTGGCCTCCACAGTCACCAGGTCTCAATCCAATAAAAGAGCTTTAGTATGTGGTGGAACAGGAGATTCATATCAAGCTCATGGTCAATAGTTCAAAACATGATTTCTACTTCTCCCTGGGTGGTGGCTTTATTTGCCTGACTTTTTGCTTTGGTCTCACACACTTATTAAAATATTTTAGAGTCCTCTTCCATTATGTTGCAGTGCTGTTTACATGCATGAACATAATGTGTGTAGAGCCCTTATTTATTGGAAATGTATTTAATTGGGGCCACAAAGATTTAAAGCATGATCTAGGTTCTTTATTTCTTTAAACAGCTAGTTCTTGGTTAGTGTTTGGGCTTAAAATCAAGATGAGAGAGGTGCCACAGCAATTTGCTTGAATAGATGCAGGCATTCATGACTCAGTATGATGAGGCCCAATTCCTTCCATTTTACTGAAAGCATAAAGATATTCACTGTTAATGAAGCTGGTACATAAAACACTACATTGCAATGTTGTATTTCAAGCAACAACTGTGGAAAACACTGACTTCCAGGAAACGGTGTCTCATGTGAGCACACTAAATACTTACAAATTGAAGAGAAACAGTATGTAGTTTCAAACTGGTACACAACGCAAAGCTGTTCTTCAATTTTCACACCTTTAATTTGTGGAAGAATTTGTGTTGAAACTTTGTTATCTTAGTAGCAATCATAACCACAATGGCATCATTGTGCCGTCGTCATTAGATAATTATCTGAGACCTGACAAAATTCCCCCCGAGCCTCCTGAGAGAAGACTTTATTCAACAGAAAGCAACTGATTTTTGTGTGTGAAGTTGGCAGAATCCCTTCTTTGGGATGAAATTTGGATTTCCACGTGTCGAAAAAGGTTATGACGATGTTAGGTTAAGCAGGTTAGGCATGTGAAATTTTTCTGAATTTTCTGAATGTGACACCTCTGGTGTAGAAAAAAAATAGCAAAAAGAAGCTAATTTTACCTATTTACATACTTGTATGTGTATGTGCATATTCCCATGTGTGCCTGCTGCCTCTCTGTGTAGGTAGGCATATATTCACATGCTGGATTTGAGAGATTCAGTAGTGAGGCAATGCTGCTTGGATCCCATTTATCTCTGTCAGACAGTTATTACCAGGTATTATGGTGCCTAAGTGAAAGCCTGTCGACTTGAGTAAGACTCTGCTGGGGAGGAAGAGGTGGGGGTACTGGTGTGTTAACTGGAGGCTTATGCCCTTTGTGAAAAAAAGTCTGACAAACACCTTCAGTGTAATTAAACCTTGCATTTAGATGGGCACCCTCCTTCGGCTTATTTCCATGCCACTCATCACAGCACTGGAATAACAGGACTTTTTGCACTTGAGTACTTCAGATTACCTCGCTACAAATCTGAAATACTATATCATAATATAAACACACATTAATAAACCAAAGTGATATCCTGGTAGTGTGTCAGGGTTAATATGTGACTCATGCTGGCAGCTCAGACTTGATTTTCTTTATGTAATTTGGGCCAAAGTGCCTCTTGTGTGCCCTTTTTCCCTTCTTCACGAAACCTTTTTGTCACCTGTGCTGCACTTCACACTTGACTGTGAAGAAGGGGAAGAAAAGGAGGGGGAAACGTGAGTGTCGTTAATCTGCCTGTCTGTCCTTTGCAGGTGGTTGGCGGAGCCTGGCTTTTCAGCCGCCTCTACTGTAACGTCTTTGTCACGCTGGATGTGATGATGTGCACCGCCAGTATTCTCAACCTGTGCGCTATCAGCATTGACAGGTGAGTGCGAGTGTGTGTGTGTGTGTGTGTGTGTGTGTGTCTTTATCTTTTTGCTGCAGTTACTATGTATGACTACAGATGTTGCCATGACATCTCCAGTGTAAATGTCATCTCTGTTAGACTTTTTTTCCGTCACCTCGCCACGTAGACATTTCAAAGCTCGCTGAAGGATTAAAATATTTTCCCCATCTTGCTCGTATCTTCTTGATAGTTGTGTGTCTGTGTGTGCATCTCAGCGTGCAAGTTTCTCACAACGAGAGACAGTGAGAAAGTAACAGGAGTGAGCATGTGCATGCAGGCTAGGTGTTTTTAGGTTGTTGGCTAATTGCTGAGAAGATGTTTGTGCCATTGCACAGGAAAATGTCAAGCATGAGGACCTCGAACCTCTCCTGCAGCATCTGGTGTTTACATCATTATTTGCATAGGTTTTGTTCTTGTATCAAAGTGAACATTTAATATCTCTAAAGGGTCTTTGAACTTGGAACCCCACAGGCATCAGGGGTTCAACTGCACAGGATGAATACACTGATGCATAAGAACTCTCGGGGGGATATATTTGCTCAGCCTGTATGGAGAAGGGAGTGTTTGCCTTTCTCTGCAGCGAATACGACTGCAGGGGAAAATGAGCGCTTTCATGAGTTTGCATGACAGTAAATGTTTTATAAGTCCCAGTTTCACTGTGTGTGACTCTGAGTTTTTGGTATTATTTCAAATACATTCATTTGCCGCAATAACAAACAAGGTTCTCCTGCAGTATTTGTTGTGGGGTTTTAACACATTGCTATTACTCTTGATTTGTTATCATTATATTACTTTATATTGCATCATTGCCTAAGATACAGCTACAGCTAACTTAGAATTGCCAATAAATTAACATGGATGTATTCGGACCATGGAAGAAAGCTGCTAGAGAAAACTCACATGGGCACAGGATGAACATGCCAACTCCACAGAAAAAGACCCAACAAACGAGCAGATCTGAACCACTCTGCCAGATAATGAGGAAACGTGAAACCAGAGTGGTGGCCACATATCAACAAGAATCTCTGTCCAAGCAAGAGCCGTCAAAGACCACATTTCCTCCAGAGCTGAGAACTCCCTCCACAAAGCGAGTCCCTGGACGAAGGATCTCTGGCTCCAGCTTAGATTTCCTCAAGAACATCAAAACGATATCTGCCAATTTTTGTTACATCAATATGATAAGCATTTGTGAGGATATAATGGGAAACGGCCCTACCTCACAGTGGTGAAGACTACTTCCAAAGAGTCCTCCTTTGGATCGACTCCAAAAGTGAATCACTCCTAAGTTGGGCCAGGGCCCAAAACGTCAATGCAAATCTGTTCAGAATTCTTTTTTGTTTTTTGAGTAAATTGGACAAAATATAAACATTAAAAAAACAATCCCACAACCCCCTTGGTGGAGGTTATAAAAAGTAAAATATAACATTCCTACACTTAATTTTAGTAGTGATATTTTTATAATGCCAGCGAGAAAATGCTCACAGTGTGGTGGGAGTTTCTTCTAGTCAAAAACCTACAGAGACATCTGCAGCTTCGATCACTTAGAGAGCTTATCGTGAGAGTTTGTCACTTGTTCACTATTCCAAAGACACTTGCTACTGGTTCTTGGTTTATTAACAATGAAATAATCAGATATAAATAAGCAAACTTCCATAATGAAGCGTCGAGTGTAAAGAATAATAACAATGCAAATGCAAATAATGCAAATGCTCGAGGTAGATAGTAACGAATTCTATTGAACTGCAGGTGCAGTTGAAACTGCACTGAGCTAAACAAACACTAGTTAGACTTCAGAAATAACTCAAGTCCAAAAGCAAAAGAACAATGAAAACAGCACACGAAATAGAAAACAAGAATCTAAAAAAAAACTCAAACTCATAACCCTGAATCCAAAATCCAGAACAACAGCAAAAAATAAATAAATCTTGCTATGTCAATGCTGTGTTCATGAAATGTGTCTCCTGTCAGAAGTGGCCAAGAAATCATTATAAATGACTTAATAAACAACAAAACCAACAATGAGAATCTGGGTTTAATGAGGCAACATGGCACAACAGAAATGCCATGGAGCTCTGAGGCCAAAACAGGGCAGTGGCCCCAATTCCAGAGCATATAAACATGTTAATCTGGCAGCGATTGTATCCTGTAAAACTTTCCTGACATCATTTTTTTGTACGAATCCAACTGGTTAAATACTTTATGTGGCTGTCTTCACAATTAAATTAGCAAATTAGATATCCTGAAACCCTTCTTTTATTTGTTGGACTGCTTGATTCTTTTGGATGTTTCATAATTTGCACCTGAGCAATGAAGTCGTCCTGAACGCTGCTCTTCTTCCTGTTTAATGCAGAAGTCAAAAGCACCTCTGCAGCATCAGATGTTTGTGTGCTTCTAAATTAATGCAAAGCCCCTGGGACATTGCGTGTCACTGAGATCAGTTTTACCTTCGCAGCAGCGCCGTTAGTTTATCGCATTGATCTCTTTGAAAACAGAGGATTTGTCAGCTTTCAACGGCTCTTCAGCAGCAGCGTAAATACGCGATAATCCAAGTTCTACCGTGAAACTTCAAGGAGAATTGTCCCGGTGAAAGTACTTACAGTTTAAGTCGTGCTTTGAGTGGTGATTTTAAGAGTTGATGAAACTAAAGGTGTAACGTAAAGCAGCGCTTGATCAATAAAGGTTGCATATAATTTTTTTTATCATTCAACTTTTTTCCTTTCTTTTCCTTAATTTTTTTTAAATCTTTGCATTTATTCTAACCCAGCAGCGCCGTGGCAGGAGGTTAAAGGCAAAGGGAAGCAGCGTGGGAAGAATATTTTTAGTGGATGTCCGCGTTTGGCTCCGGGTTTCACTCTGCATTTTGCCCAGAGAAGAACAGGAGTAATTAGCCTGATGAGGATAAACAATCATGGCAGTTGTCTGGCTCTAAACAACATTACATCACATCTATTTTGGGTTGGGTTCCAGCATAATTGCAGCTTCTTCTAGGCTATTGCTGGACAGTTTTTCCGGGCTCATTATACACTCTTGGCATATAGTGTGCTGATTAACTCTTAAATCAAAGCCTCACTAGAGTTACTGCTGAATACCCATTTGTTTCTAAATAATAGTGCCTGGTACGCCTTCCCATTGTTGGTCTTTATACCATCCACTTTTTCTCTGCATTGCATTTCTTGGCATCCCCAAAGCCCAACACTCTTTTTCTCCCTCTAATTATTCCCTTTTGCAGGACCGCATCAGCACTTTTTCCTTCATTCAAATGTCACCACCTGTCCTCTGTACAAATACGTCTGCAAAGCTGAGCAAACTCTAATCCTTGTCTGTGTCTGCAGGTATACGGCAGTAGTGATGCCCGTCTTGTACAACACCACTCATCGCTCCAGAAAAAGAGTGTTTGTCATGATTGCTACCGTGTGGGTCTTGGCCTTCGCGGTGTCCTGCCCCCTGTTGTTTGGATTCAACACCACAGGTCAGCTCAGCAACATTTCGACTTTGGCTTGTTTTCTGGTTAACGTTAATTACGTAATTTACAATTAAAGTTTAGTGTTCTTAGCATTTAGGATGGCCGTGGCGAGTAACTCAAGTGCTGTAAACATTTCATGTGTCGTCTGAGTTTTGTCAAGTCTGTGAAAGTAACAGCAAATGATATTATTGGCATTAAGAGCTGAAACATGTCGAATCTGAAGGATGTGGGCAGATCAGGGAAGCAGAGTCTAATGCAGTATTCCTGTCATGTTGTGAGGATGTAATCACAGAGAAAATGACCATTCATGTCACACATTTGCAGCGTTTTCACAGAGTTTGAGATTTTGTGCAATTTCTGACAGCTACAATATTTCCTGTTAAAAAATAAGTAAATTTATAAACCAACAAGTGGAAGATTCACTGCAATACCACAACTGCTGCTGTTGGTTATTAATAAAACCCAGCGTTACAGCTTTTCTCATTTGGATGTTGTTACTTGCACAAGTAAGAGCGTTTACCATCAACAGATGGTGAATCTGCTCAGATGAACATTTTACAGGTGTAGAAGCCTCACTAAGGAGAAGAAGAGCGAGGGAGGATTGTAGTGTAGCAAGGAGATTACAACAGGAGGGAGGTGCAGAGGGTGGATGCAGTGTTGATGGTGGGTTTTCTCCTGTTACAGTGCAACGGGAGCACTAGGTGAGGTTGATAAGTATGCATGACCAAAAGACACAGCAGGATGTGCAGTGATTCCTGTACTGTGCACAGTAGGGCTATTTTTTATTTTGCATGTGTTTTTATACAGATACTTTTCTATGCTGTTCTGTATTTATTCTAACAGCGTTTTACTCTATTGTGGGATCAGTGCAGGAACAAAAACCCCCTCATTCTTGTCTGCAAGTAGAACATAAAATCTTGAACTCAGCATCTGAAGTATTCAGCTCATCCAAGTATCCACTTTCATACACAATCGTGGTCAGAAAACCTATAGTTTTATACTCGAGGCATTCACTGTCAGTGAAACCAGGTAGGACAGAGAGTCTTTTGCTTTTTAACACTACATCATTTTTGATTTGGGTTGCTTATTGCTTGTTTACAAATGTGTTGTAGCGTGGCATTACATCTGCTACGGCCCTGCCTCTGAAATAGACAAGCTTATATTGAGCAAACAAAGAGAGCATTCACACAATGAATTTCAGAGCATAAAACAGCTATCCGCTCAAGGAACCTGGAGCCAAACACTGTCATGAGGCCAAAAATGGCTCCACTGTAATGTCTTTTGGAGTGAATGATGATTATAGTTCAAAATGCTTTCCTCTGAGCAAGTTTACATAAAATATAGAAACATTAGATGTTCGCTACAAACCCTCAGACCTCAGCCAGAATCATCCTGCTTTGCTTTTAATCATTACTCTTTTGTGAATCTTTTAGCCAAACTGCTGAATTTGAACAACATGACGTCCGTTTTGGCTCCGATGAAAGCCGCAGAGATGGCACGTTAGCAAGTTTGTTGGCTTGTCCAGAATAAATTGTGGACTTTTTCCTGATATTTGCAAAAGTGGTTCTGTTTACCTTTGTGCACTCAACACTGGATTTTCACATAGAGCCTTCTTTATTGTCAAAACTTTAAATCATCAGCCCCCAAATTTCTATCTGCCTGTTGGATAGACAGTTGTTTTTATGCTGAGCCTTATTTGTCACTCATGTGCTTGTGTGCATTTCTGTCTGCCCCTGATTAGGTCATAGATGCCTTTAAATTTCATATTTTTACTTCTTCCAGTTAAAATTACACTTACAATAAATTGCCGCTTGCTATTTTCCTCATTTTAAAATGTTGCTATTAAAGCATTAATTAGACATGTTCTAATTAATGCTATACGCACTCATTAACCCCGATCATGCCTGGGTGCTCACTGACACACTCACTTGCTTCTTCATTAGTTACACATTGCTAGTGCTGGGTTGGTTCCTCCTTCTGCCTTCAGAAGTGCTTTAAGTCATCTTGGCACAGATTCAGATTCGGCATCACATCCATGATGTCAAACTCCTGTTCGAGCACATCCCAAAGGTGCTCTACTGGAGAGATTGAGATCTGGTGAATGTGGAGTACATATGAATCGATATTTGGTAAAAAATAAATAAATAAATAAAAATGGGACAAGAAAATTACACCACCATTGTTTGTTTGGATGCTTTCAGGTGGTTGAAACTCATCAGAGCAAGCAACATTTTTCAAATCTTCTGCTGTTCAATTTTGGTGACCCGATGTGAATTGTCGTCTCAAGGCGCTTTATATTGTGTGGTAGACCCTACAACAATACAACAGAGAAAACCCTAACAATCATATGACCCCCTGTGAGTAAGTGCTTTGGCAACAAAGGGAAGGAAAAACTCCCTTTTAACAGGATGACACTTCCAGCACAGCAGGTTCAGGGAGGGGCGGCCATCTGCCGCAGTTATATGAGCAATTATTTGAGTTACTGTTGCCTTGCTATCAACTCAAAGCAGTCTGGCCATTCTCCTCTGACCTCTGGGATAAACAAGGCATTTTCACCCTGAGAACTGCAGCTCACTGATATTTTCTCTTTTTCGGCCCATTCTCAGGAAACCCTAGAGATGGTAGTACACTAGCACAGCAGATCAGCACTTTCTGCAATACCACGCCACAATCAAAGTTACTGAAATCACTTTCTTATTTCTACACTTTCTTCTCTACTTCAAAGATTGCACTTGATTGATTGAATCATTTATGTCCATTAAACCTCCTCTTAATACACTGTTTCATTGGAGGACTTTTTTGTATCTTTGGTAAGTGGCTGTTTTATATATTTAATACTTGTTTATTTATCCCTGTCTTCTTTGCTTTTGATCCTTTTAGATTTTTGTATTGATTTATTCATGATCCGTGCTCCTTTTATGGTTGGTTTTTATTTTTGTTCTTTTGTTGTTTTTAATTATTGTAGGAAGTCCTTCAAAGAAAAAACTTTGCAACTTTGTTTGCTCTGTCACACATTTTTCTAGTTAAAAAGAAAAGTAAAGCAAATATTTCTTTTGTCCTTTCAAAATATTGTTTGCATTGCAGTCTGATTGGATGAGGTTACGTCAAGTGGAAAACAGATGCCGTCTTGTTTATTGTTAAAAATCATTTGTGTTTTCCAACACTGAAGATGTGCTGTAAAGCCAAATCACATATAGTTTGAAGCTAAATAACGAAATATGAACAATGTCACCAGCAGCTATTTTAATTTCAATAGCCAGCAGCAACACAGATGCATGAGTGAACACACACAATTAAGACCATTAGTGAAACACAATGTAAAGCAAATCACAGACATGCAAGCACTAAGTTTAGTCTACTTATAGCCAGAGTGAAAAAATGGCTGTTTATTGCAGGAATCTGACCACTCAGGGGCGGAGACCGGGGTGGGGTGGGGGGGTCCTGTTAGGTCTGAAATCCTTCGTCTTTCTTTTGAAGTAATCGACTGACACGGATCAGCTCAAACAGACAAATCTGTTTTGTTCCCAAACAAAAAAGAAATAATCAGTACTCTGAGTCTAGCAGCTGAAGGTAGTTTGGAGAGTGGCACCAAATAGATTGTATCTATCCATCCTTCATCCCACTTCTCTGTGTACTGAGGTATCGCTCAGGAAGCTCATACCAACACAGACATGTGATATGCATTTCACTGCAGCTTTTTTTTTCATTTATTTTCATGCTAATTATACAGGTGACATGATTTTGGATGAGGAATTTGTCTATGTACAGCCTTTATTATATGAAGTGGTCTCTTATCCTGAATTTATTGCTCAGTTCTTGTCAGATCAGTCATGTCTCTATCTTGCAGTGATCTCTGTTAGGGTATAGCATGTGTTCGGTATATAGGTATTATATGAAAAGAGGACAAACGATCAAGGCTATTTTCAAGATTGATAGCATACTCTGGGGTCAGAGAGCCAGCTTTAAATGATGATGTTTGTCTCTTTTATTATCCTATAATTTTAAGGCTGTTTTCCATAATGATATTTTCCTTTTATTGCAGACGACCCTTTGGTGTGCTCCATCTCCAACCCTGACTTTGTGATCTACTCTTCTGTGGTGTCCTTCTATTTGCCGTTTATTGTCACTCTGCTGGTTTACATCCGCATCTACGTCTTCCTCAGGATGAGGCGGAAGAGGATCACTTTTGGACAGGCCAGTGGAAAGGTGCAGCCAGGCTCCACTCCACCGTCTGTGGTGAGTCGGTTTCCATTATTAGTTTTTTTAGTGGTGCACGGTATAGTAAAAGATGCTTTATGAGATAGTTAGTTTAACAATAATTATCTATTGATTCTAAAAATCTATTTAGAGGAGCAGCTTTGGGGGTCATCATGAAGAAGTTTTTGACCTTGTCATAAAAAGCCACAAAATCTTCCAAACATTTATGAATAACAATAAGATTCACTTGATTACTTACACTGAGATTGCCTTGACTCTTTTATAATGAGCTCATGATGTTTAGAACTGTAGATGTGCTGTTATAATGATTTAATAATCATCTGACCAGGGTGTGATTTGCCGATGGGGTTGTGAGGGATTCCGCTTCTCTGGTCTACGTGTTCCTGCTTCCACAAAATCATTTAATTATTCTATAAATGTCACATTAAAGAACAGATATTCTGACAGATGTCAGAGTATAAAGGGGCCACGCTGGTGCCCGAATTATTTTTGCTGAGGGCAAAATAAACACATCATCCTTTCTTTTTCTTTTTCTTTCATATATCAAACCTAAGATGTCAAAAATAATAACTGGGCAGCTAGACCAGTTATTATACTATTATAACACCTTTCACATTCACTGTGCTCCATTTCTGAAAAACTGTTATTTAGCTCCTGATTTATTGTAAGTGTATTTTCCTCACAGCAAATTCATCTTTCTCAGATTCTGTCTCACTCACTTATTTGCATTCACCAATTTTATGCACTGATAATGAATTACAACTCACCTTTATTTTGGACCATTTTACAATTAGATAGATTCCCGGTGTGCACAGGGGGGGGGAAACTCTATTAGACTCTAATAATTGTTTAATTTTAGAGTACAAAATGTAGACAAAGTGATCAACAAGAAAACCGCTGCCAGAAATACTGTAAAAGTGCCCGGGAAAAGGTGTCTTCTTCTGATATGCTGAATATTATATTATGATATGCTGAATATATTAAAAAAATCTGAATGAAAAAGTAAATAAACAAAAACAAAAAAAATGCATAATTATTTGTTGACAGTCAGAAAAAAGGTTTTCACTGGACTCCCTGAAGTGCTGTAAAAATCCAAGTACTTCAATGATTCAGTAGTTTGTGAAACCACCTTTAGTAGCAATAACTTGAGGTGTTGCTTTTCTCTATGACTGTCACGGAGGTGGAACGGACTCAGGCGCAGACTGAGAAAGCACAGTTCAACAATACTTTATTAATCACACTGGTGCGCTATGTACACTGGGGAAACACACTTCTTCGCACTTGCTCCGCTCCTTGTCCAAACAATCTCCACACAAGCTGCCCACTCACACTCACGGGGTCCAGGGGTCACAAAAGGGCTGATCCAGGTAAACCTATTAACACAGACGAGGGTAAGTCGAAGGCAAGCACGGAAACAACAGAATCGCAATGAAGCCAGGCAATACTAACGAGAGTTACTCAATATTCCAGCAACGAGTAGCTCAGAGCCCCTGACCTAAGAAGAGCTGCAAATCACCGGAGATCAGCTGCAGGTGCGTGGGCCAAGGGCGGGAGCCCAATCAGAGCTCCGCCCACGCAGACAGGTAGGAGAGAGAGAGAGAGAGAGTAAGGCGAGGGAGGCAGAGAGAGAGTAAAACAACAAACACTTGTGGCCACACTGGGCTGGCCGGGGAGGCACAGGGACCATGACAATGACTTTATCAGTCTCTTGTGTCATTGTCAAGGAGTTTTGGCCCAGTCTGCCTTACGATGTTGCTCCACTTCATTTTCAAACATTCATTTCTTTACAGCTCTCTTAAGGTCCCACCACTGCATTTCAATCAGGTTGAGGTCTGGATTTTGACTCTGCAATTGCAACACTTTGATTCTTCTTTTTCAGCCACTCTGTTGTGGGTTTGCTCCTGTGCTTGGGATCATTGTCCTGCTGCACAGCTGTTAGACAGATGCCCTCACATTTGACTCTAGAATACTTTGGTATACAGAGGAGCTCATAGATGACTCAATGATTGTAAGGTGCCCTGGTCTGAGTCTGCAAAACAAGACAAATCATCGTCCCGCCACCACCGTGCTTGATAGTTGGTGTATGGTGGTTTTTTTCACCAAATTTAGCACTTTGCATTACGACCCAACATCTCCAATTTGGCGTCATCTATCCAAAGGAGATCGCTCCAGATGTTTTGTGGTTTGTTTAGATGCAAATTTGCTAAGCTCTGCCGCGTGTTCTTTTTGAAGACTTTTTCCTGGCAATTCTTCCAAACAACCCATACCGGTTTAGTCATTTTCTAATTGCACTGTGATGACCTTTAAGGTTTAATGAGCTAACTGAGGCCTGTAGAGCCTGACATGTTGGTCTTGAGCTTGAATGGGAAATATGGTTGGATGTCCACTCCTAGGAAGATTGTAAGATCATGTTTTCACCACACCATCAGCTTATCACTACCCCTGCTTTTATAGAGGAACACTTTAATCAAGTGCATTTGATTAGCATCACCTGGCTGCTGCTTAATTTCTATAAAGATAGTGAGGGTCTATTTAGTTTTTCACAGGACTGCAAATAGACATCATTGTTGACACATGTGGACATTTCCATGTTTTGTTGCATAGCAAAAACAGCTGAGAATTAATAAGAAGTTAAAGTAACTTCAGTGAAAATGTTTTACTTTGATTAATGTGCGCTGATGGGTTCATGTGACCTTTATTCAGTAAAATTGGATGGATGGATGTATGGATCTGACAAACAAAGCAAGCTTAAGTTATATTTTAGTCCTCATAATAATACTGTCGGCACAAGGGTCACATTGTTCTTTAATCTCTATTATGAGACAATTTCTTTCTCTCAACAAGCTGTCAGTTTTTCAATCATGTCCCAGTTACATCTATCATACAGATGATGGATGTCAATAACCACAGGCAAGGATACATTAGGTCACGTTTAATACATCTGCACCCTATTATTAAAATATGGTCTATAAAAAGACAAGTCAACCCAGTAACTTGAATAGCTTTGCCACACCTAGAAGCTTCCTGAGTATTCTGGCTGTGTTCATTGCACCCTTTGTTTCCCTTTGTTCCCTCCGTTTTAACACTAGATAACAGTGCAGTCCCATTTTGGAATCTCATCCAGGAGTGGAGGCCTCCAGCTGTAAGATGCCAGCTCTGCGGGGGTTCAGGTTGAGAGAACTACGGTGGAATGATGTTTTTAAACAAGATAATAGGACTCTTACTGAGTCAAGAGAATAAACGTTTCCTATGAAGGAGGAGAATGTCTTTTTTGTGTGTTTCAAAGGCACCTATCTCTATTTTCGCAGCAAGCTTTAATTGGACTGCACAGCATTCGGCTCAGGAGGGAGTGACTGAAGGCACAACAGGCGTAAATCCTAATTCTTTTGATTTTTAGTCCGCGTCGGGGACGCTCAATGAGAATTGGTTGAATTTTAATGAAAGCATTCTGGAGATGAAAAGAGATGGATCAATGAGTTTGAAGTGAACAGCACAAATATGTTCCACTTGTGGACTGATGGGGTTGAGGTGACGGGGTTTTGTTCATTTCTCTGGAAACTATTTTCTCTGTTGAACTTTCCTCTGATCCCCGTAGGAGACCTGTCTGCAAGAAGAGACTCCAAAGGCGAAGCACGACTTGTCACCTATAAGGATTAAAGTGGTGGGTGTTATGTTAAACCAGATTTTATTTTTTCTATTGCTCTACTTTTGTTTTTTAACTTATATATCACTGTTTAATGCTTAGGTAACTTATATTGACTGTGTTGGAGTTTTGTAATGTGGTTGCATGAATTTTAGCTTTTCATCTCGGTGTCTCTATGACCGTATTCAGATAAATTCGATTTTTTTTCTCATTTGGCTGTGTGGTCGCAGCCTGGGGGGGGTCACAGAAGGAGCCAGGAATTGTGATTGTGAAGCGTGGCTGAGCAAAGACTGCGTGAGATGAACTTGCAAAATTCAGCACCTGCAAAATTCACACAGCATTCAACGGCAGAGGATTCATATCAGCAACGAAATAAAAAAGCGCGATGGGCTGAGAATATCATGCAAATTCATGTTTGTGGTCTTGCTGCAAATTGTACAGTGCTTAAAAACGTGTTATTGCTGGAGAGGGAAAATTGAGATTGAATTTGTCACAGGTTTGGAAAGTTAAAGTAATTGCTGGCACAAGAGATAAATGAAACAGCTCCTAAAATGTAGCAGGATTTCCTGGCGTGTGCTGAATGTCAACTATTGAACTTGGAGTCGGGCACACTTTTAGTCCATCTGAAGAGCCCTTCAGATATGTATTGACCATAACTTTACATTTTTCTGAGTCTTATTTGCCACTTTGTATGTCCTTAGCAGAGCAGCCCAGCTCTCAGCTCCACATATTTTCCGCATGAGGTTAAGGAGGATAAGCTAAAGGCAATTTCTCAATAGATATTACGAGGGGTGAGGGAAAATAGAAGGTAGAGCAGTGAAGTGTGATGACTTAATTTAAACATTAAAACTGGAATAATGTTGTTTTCAATACTCTGGGGCGGCAACACAAGCTGAAAACACAAAATTGGCACATAGTCACCTTAGTCAAGAGAGGTGAAGCAAACAAATAGATATTTAGGCATTCAGCAGGCACACGGAAACGTTTAAACTTGTATTTCAATTCAGTTTGATTTATATAGCACCAAATCCCAACAACAGTCACCCCAAATCACTGTATATTGTAAGATAAAGACCCTACAACAGAAAGCCATTCAATAAATTAGAGCAATCACTTGGTGACAGTGGGAAGGAAAACTGCCTTTAAACAGGAAGAAATCTCTGGCCTATCCAGGCTCAGGGAGGGGCAGCCATCTGCTGCTTGGGGGTGTTTATTGTGGATCTTTAACCTCTGTTTTGGTTTTTACCCTCTACAGAGGAAAATGTCTTTCTTTTTTTTTATCCTTTTTTAAACCAGGTAGTGAAACTTTTGTGATGAAAAATCTCCTTTACAACAGTGTCCTAGAATGAGATAAGAAGTATTAATATATATCTCAATGGCAGGACAAACCAGGCC